CTCTCTCTCTCTCTCTCTCTCTCTCTCTCTCTCTCTCTCTCCCTCTCCTCTCTCTCTCGTTTACGTCGGTAGCTTCTTTTCGACCTTCACGTGACACCGTCGGAAGTCGCTGGAGATCGGTCTTTGTTTTCCTCCGATCTCGAGGAGTCTCCAGTCTCACAAGGTGCGTTTGAAAATTGTTTTGTGACGAAATAACGCCGGTTGCCGGTTGTTGTATCCGTAAATAGTCGACGGCGGCCATTTCTGTTCCGAGAATAGCCCTCCAGCGCGCCAAAAATGAGAATTCCTCATCGAGGACCGAGCACGCGTGTGTACACACTCGTACGCAGAAACGCGCGTATGCTCTCTTAAAAACACGTAACGAGAATTGTTACTGCCAAGCGAATACGTACATCTCACTCGATCGTATATTTTTCTCTTTTGAATCCTACGACCCATAAAGCTTGCTTGTTTATTACTGTACGCGAAACTGCCGGTCGTTTCGACTGGACCGTCAAAAGTTGCACGTATTTCGCGAAAAAAAATTTTTTCCGTTAAATTGATTCGCAATGTAATTTATTAGCAGAGTTACATTCGAAAACTTTGTAATTTCTGTTTGAACTGTCGACGCGATAGCTACAAGTTCGTAGCGTGTATAAATTTTTATACGAAATCGTGTTAAATAGTGATTGGGTGCGATGTAAAAAAAAAATGAAGCGACGAGGTTACGTCTAAAATTCCAGTAAAAGCTAAAGTTGACAACGAAGGGTGTAATGGACGGTCCGAGTGAGGCAGCGAGATCGTAAAACGATCCTCGGGCTCGATAGTAAGGTTAGTGCGCTCCTCTCGTTCACGTGAGACGATATATGTATAGTTTTGCTTGGCTATACGATGTCTCGTGGGAAGGCTCGCTAGTCTGCTGCCATCTGCGTGGCTGTGTGCACTTGTAAGAACGCCGGTGAATGTGCGGACACGTAAGCCGTAGGCCATTGTCCACAGTGGTCAAGAACTCTTTGGCCGAACGACGAGGGTACGAACGGAGAAATATTGACGCAACGGGTCTGTTTACACTGGATACTGTCGCCCGAAGAAAAACGGTTCGCCGAGACGCCGAGACGACTAGACGCAATTCCGGCTGAAAATCTCCGCGGAACTCGTTCGATTCCGTGCGGACAGAAACGGACAAAAATTTGATTCGTGAAACACACGGCTCGTAAAAAATAGTACAGCGCGTTACCGACGAGTTTCTATTCGACTTGAAATGTGATTCTACGATTCAAACGTCTACTTTTATTTCAACGCATGTCGCGTAAAACGTATAGAGACGAGCTTTCAGGTAGACATTGTAACGTTCCGTCGACACAATGTAAAGAGGTGCGACAACTACTAATTCCTACCATTTCGGCAATATTCGATGTTCTTCGAAACGTCGACGCTATAAAGACTTTTGCAATCTTTACTTAACGAAATATGACATAATGATTTCCGACCGTGCAATTCCGAATGCAATTTTACCGTACAACGTGTAACACCAATGAAATATGTCGGTTGAAACGAGAATTCCGGCCATCCGTGTGACGAATGAATCGAGTCGAATTTTATGCCGTAACAGAAAAAAAAAACGGAGAGAGACGTTTTCTCGGCGCCTACCGACGCGATTAATTCTTCGCGGCGTTATACTTTGCCGCGCGAAGGAACCGGTAGCATACGTTAATACATTTACGACTGGTTCCAGCACTTTCTTTTCCTTTTTTTTTTTCTTCTTCCTCTTCTCTGGCCGAAAACGCCCCTCGTGTTCCACGATCGTTGACGCTCGGCGCAGCACGCGTGGCGAAATGTCCATCTGCGCCTCTGGTTCTTCTTCTGGCCCCTATCCGCCCGTCTCGTAGCTCGCTCGCGTCTCGATAAGCGAAAAAAGTGCTTTTTGTCGGGTCACTCGCGCGGATATCTCTGCTCCTCCTGGGAGACGCGCACTGCGAGACACACGCGTGCGCAAAAACGCGCTTGCAACACGTGCTGCCCCGGCCGCGTGTTCGGTCGTTGGGCACCAGGCGACCCCCGACGTCGTGTTCCGGCAAGTCGTTGTTGAGGTTACGCGTGTTTCGCGAACATTCTCCGGTTTACCGTCAATAATAATAAACGGAAGAAAACTTTGGTTTCCGTGTAAACGAAATCGAAGGTAGCATCATCTCTAACGTATACCGTGTTCAGTCCATACTTTCGAAACTTAATACTTTGAGTAGCAGCGCATGCACGCCGTATAATTTCGTCTCTGGATGATCGTCAACCTTTCGGTCGGCGTTATTCATCTTTTATTTGATTTCTTTCGATCTTAAATTGATTTTAGTTTGGATTTTAAGAATACTTTGCGATCTGTATCGGCAAACAGCATCGGCGATATCGAATCCTTAGATTCGATTTAGTAACGATCGTTGTTTCTCGGAGACGGTACGCCACGGAATTACAACGAGTATCGTTACATGGACGTTGTTCAATTTTGTTGGAAATGGTATATTTGTTCGGTCGATTGCATGCGGATTTATAAAATCTGTCTTTGAATTGTATTTATTTAAATCGTACCGATTAGAAATTTCTGTATCTTTACGGTTCTGTATCATTAAGATCGAACTGAAATCACTTTAATTAAATAATGTATTTAGAGTGAAAAGAAATTTGTTGAAAACAATATTGGGTTGCCTGGAAAGTACATTCCGATTTTTAGTAGGCGATACAGGTCTGAGAATACATCGGAATGACTGAAAACGAATAACATGTGTACATTCCTTAACAGGTGGAAAGGTTGTGGAATAAAATGTTACATATATAGTTCAATAATAATATGCATCAAAATTCAATTTTGAATTCCTTCGAATTTTTCGTAAAAATAGGCACGAACTTTCCGGACAACCGAATATTTATTACAAACGGCGAGCAATTATAGTTCTACACGAAGAAATATGTAATTTAATTATTTTTTAATTTTTGTTACGATAAATTTTGTTTTGCAACGAGGTTTCTCTTGAAACGAATGTGAATGCTTTCAGGTGAACGCCTCAGGAGTGTTCGAGTTGAGGCTGAAGTCGTTCGTGAACGAGTACGGGAAAGACAGTCTGGGCAAGTGCTGCTCCGGTAGCACGTCCAAGACGGGCGAGTGCTCTGGCGTTTGCAAAACCAGGTTCAGGGTTTGCCTGAAACAGTATCAGGTGAAGATCGACACGACGACGCCGTGCACCTACGGCGACGTCGTCACGCCCGTACTGGGCGAAAACATCGTCAACCTTAGCCCGAACGTCGCCATGCCCAGTTTCACCAATCCCATCAGATTCCCGTTCGAGTTCACGTGGCCGGTGAGTGTCCTTGCTATGATTATTACCTAATTATAAGTAGTTAAACAAAAAAAAATAAAAAAAAAAAAATAAAAAAAAGAAAGAAAAATTTAAATTCCTCGAATTAATCATAAACCGTCAGATAACAGAATGATGTGTTCGTTGTTCTCCTTTGTTTCTGAGACATTCGATTTTTTCTTTTTTTTTTTTTTTTGCGTCGCCAAACGGTTAGGTTAGTTGGAGGGAAATCTTTTTATCCGTGCTCAACCGTGACATAAATTAAAAACACTGTCACCGCGCGATTTGCAAGTACGATCGATATAGAGAGAGAAAAAAAAAAAAGAAGAAAAAGAAGGTGGCAATTGCGTGAGTCCTGGCGATGGAGCGATCGTAGATAAGCGAAAAATCGCGATTCCTCGACGTTTCCGTGCTCTTTTTGCGATCTCCTCGATTACCATAACATATATCGGCATGCGTCGTGGGACGCGAGAAATAGGTTCGTAACGCGAACGTAAGCGGAACTCGATTCGAGATACGGCGTAATGAATCGCGAAAAAACATCGATAAACGTTATATGAATGCCTTCTCGCGTTCATTTGCGAAACGTCGTCCGAGACTACCAGTTACCAAGTGGTTCGTTTTCGACCGATCTGCGACACGGGATCTCTGATTCTTTTCGCGTGGCGAGAGATTGCGTACACAATAGCGAAACGAAACGAAAGACGATTAGAGTTTCGACAATGGACACAGGCACGTGCCGGTGTCAGTTATATTTGACAAGTAATTCGATTACCGATTAACACGTTGATCGTTAACGTCACCCGTGCATCGGCGACAGTGCTTTTCACTGAGAAACGATAACTAATTAATTCTGAAAGTTAAATGTCATAGAAAATGAATTCAAATAAAATACTGGAATTTCGACGAAGTTACAGAACTAGATACAGAAATGAATGTTTCATTACGCAGTTTCCAAAAGTCTGTGAACAAAATTTAAACACGGTAGAGATTTTCAAGAGTTTTAGTCTGGCAGTGAACGTGTTAACTATCAGTATAATTAGTCGCAAAGAATTTGAAATACAACTAACATTCTTTAATTGTTGGTCGTTGTTGCACGAATAATTGAAATTATTCAATTATCGATAGCTATTAGATCTACCGGAATGTTCCGTCCATTTTTACAGTAAAATAATAAATTTGTCATACCTTGTAAAGTAAATTCGATCGAATAGCACAATTTTGATCGTTATTTATGACATCTTACCAGCGCGATTGCAATTTGTATATCATTTTTTAACGAATACGCGCATGATTCGTTGAAAGTTGTTGCAACCGGAACGGACAGAACTTTTCGGTAGACCGTAATATTTTTCCAATGTTATTTACCCCAACTCTGCCCCGAGCTACGAATCCACAGTAATTCGATTCTCGGTTACCAACTCGTCCGTTATGCGCTCCCGTGATTTTTCCGCACGTGCGAACGTGTCCAGAGTTGAAAGCCACGCAAATTTCGATCTTTGTCTCCGCTTATACAACGAGTGGCGAGCATTTGTCAAGGAAAATTAAGATCGCCGGGGACGGCTTGAAAGGGGGTCGTATCTTCGTCTTGTATCTTTCCACATTCTCGGACGAATCATCACGGCACGAGCTGAATTACGACCAGGTTGACCGATTCTCTTCGAGCGACGGCCGACGAGACTAGGGCGACGCCAGTGGATTATTCGCGTTTCCAAACTTTCAGAATTAATATTAAAATTACGTAAATTCAACACGGTCGAATAATTTCGTCAACGGTGCGAAAATTTCGTATGAAACTTTCAAATTTAACGTTTTCATTCTATGGATTGTAAAGCGCTAGAATCAAATTAATAATAAAATGGGTAATTTTACACGCGTGACGATACGAATAACGAAAGTACGTTGATTTGTCGAATATGTACTTATCGAATATGTACTTATCGAATACGTACTTATCGAATACGTACTTATCGAATATGTACTTATCGAATACGTACTTATCGAATACGTACTCTCTACGGATATTTAAAAGTACAAGGTGGCACGACTGAACGACACCACCAGCATGCGACCGCCTGTCGGCGAAACGGTTAATTTTTATCTTCAGCTGTTACAAACGTCGTGGTTCAGGCAGGTTCGTAAAGGTCCGTCTTCCTGGTTTCCGTTACAATCGATAAGAAAGAATTGAAAAGTAAATTGGTTGATTAGGGGAACATGAACTCGAAGCTGAACGCACTGTTGCTTTAATTTCCTCTTTATCGCGAGATGGGAAGCTCGCGTGTAACAGTTTACCGAATGTTCCGATGAGTCTGATAGCGAGAAAAGTACTTGTTGGTTGGACTAGTGGTGCTTGTGGGAAACCCTGAATTTGTTGTTCATGTTCGTATGTTCGAGCAAGTCGTTGATTTAAATATCGGGTGGACTGGAAAATAATATCCTTTCTTTTACGTAAATTCGAACAAATTTTTGAAAAAATTTCATTTCTATTTTTAATTAATAAATCGTACAATCGCTTCCGTTGTCGATAGCCTTTTGCCATCTAGCGTGCAAATCGTCGATGCCAGATCGATAGAAATCAACGAGCCGACGAACGATAAACAAGTATTTAAAATTCCAAAAACGACATTGTTTTCCGGTTCACGTAATATTTACGATTTCGTTGCGTTTTCAATGCATATAAAATAGTTTTAATCTTAACTTTTAACCTCCAATGAATAAGTCTAAATTATATGCGCACAAAACTATAGCGTATAACAAGAGAATATAGCGTGTAATTGTATATAATTGTATATAACTAACAATAAATGCTTGCACGAAACTGTCGATAATAATGGAATAAATCGAAATCGTCGATAAGTGGGTTAACGTCGAAATTGGGCTCGGTTTAATACTCGTGAAATACAATAGCGTAAAAATCTTACGGGAGCACTTATCTTGCACCTGTCGATAAGTAACCGGTCCTGCCCGGTAATTAATGAACAGAAGCGCGGAAGAAAGGGAATCGTTGGCAGCAAAAATTTCAACCTCCTGTCTTTTTCCAACTTTCTCGGGCCCGCGGTAAAAAGAAAGGCTAGGTCGATCGCATTAAAAGCGTGTGTTTTTTCGTGCACGCGCTGCTCGCGAGTGCGACGAGGACCGGCGAACGAACCGGCAGATGGTGCCAGAGGCGAAAGAAAAAGAAAGAAAGGTGTCGTGGCACTTGTCTCTCCCTCCTGCTGTAGTTGTTATTGCTAGCTTGTTGTTGCTTCGATAATTCCCCCGACATTGGCGCGAGGACGGCACATTTTTCCCCAATTAAAAGTTCAACGTTGTCGTTCCAACCGTGCATTTTCGTACCTGTACGAGAGACCGCGCAGCGATTTAACGGCAGAAAAGAACTTGATTATTTCCGAAAGAATCGAAGGTATCGCTTACCGTCGATTCAAAATGAATTTCACGAGATTAATGTTATCGGTATTGGTAGCGCGATGTAACTTCCTTCCAAAAAAGTTCCGATCGTTTCGGTACGAATTCCATCGAGATGCAATCTGTTAACCCCGCGATACATGGACTATACGATGTTGTTTTCTTTAACACGTTGACTGCCGGACTGATTCTCTTGGAAATTTATACTGCGATCAAATTTTATTTACAGACAGTATTCGTTCTCGTGATTTCACCGAGATTCGATCATTTCATTCGAATACGTTTTCTTCGACGCTTCGCTTTCGAAACTAATTTCTTTAGTACCCAGGTATGGGTGAGATCGCGTTCAACGTGTTAATAAATTGTAACGAAATGAAGTTCGAGAGAGGATGGAGTAGAGAGAGTTCGCGTGAATAGAAGTGTCGACGAATTGGAGTATTTTCGCATCTTGAGGTAACAGGAAATGTGATTGGAAGGGCAGGGTCCAATACGGCGTCGAGTGCATTAACCACGTCTACGCCAATGTTTGCTCACCATCCCTGGTGTACGTCAGCTCGCTCGTTGCGCTGTTCCGCGCACTTCTGCCTATGAGACGCACTGCAGGGCCACTGGCAGATGGCTAGGCCTTTTGTGCTTCTCTACGCTTCCCTCGTAATCTCTTTCCCCTGGTCTCTCTCGCACCGACTGTTCCCCGTCCTCGTCTCTCCAAGCTCTCTCGTGAGCAGAGTTAAATTTACTAACCCATATGGCGCCCCTCGCGCCACCTTTGCGACCAGTTCGCCCGTCTCACTTGAAAAACGCCACCTCCTCCCGTCTCTCGTCTTTCGTCGTGTTCCCGGTAGAAAATTTTCTCATTTCGGTTCGACTTCTCCGCGAATGCTCGGTCGAAACGAAAAAATGTTCCTTTATCGTAGGATCTCGAATGTTCAAACACGCTTTTCGTCCTTTGCTTCTTACGTGCCCCGACTCTACCGAGCATTTATACTTATATTCTACTGAGCTTTATACAGCGTCGAACGTAACACTTGAGACATTTGTCTCGTTTCTTCTTTTCAGTATATTTCGAAGGAAACGAGACAAACTTCGGGTTTGTTCTTCTATCTAGGATTTCCCAAACTCCGACTTTATACCATTGCTGGACCTCTCTTTCACTCCGTACCAACGAAACATCCTTCCGAGCAAACGAAACTAAATTAAAAATGATTCGTACGACGTATGGCTGTAGCTTTTCATGAAAATCCCTAGCGTAGCTCTCGCTATACGCGGTACAATTATCAATGAAGCACAGAACTTCGTTCCCATGAGAGACTCTGTTTACAATTCCAACTTTATCGTTTCACCGGTATGTTTACCGTAGCCCCGTGTCTCTTTTTCGTTCTCTGGTATCGGCCGATATTAGAAGCTATATCGGACGAAAGAGGTTCGGTTCGAAGGCAGGAACTCACCGAGTGAGAGAAAAAGAAAAAAGAGTCGCGTTCTCGGAAGAGAGGCTGGTCGGAATCCTGCGTCGGAGAAGCAACCTTTGAGTCCCAGCACGGTAGTCTGTCTACGTTGGCGGCTGTGCGGAGGGATGAAGGGAACAGACGGCGGCGTCGTAA